TGATACAATCTAAAATTATAAATGTTATAACATTTCATATTGACTCTCTTTTTTAAGTTCAATTACAATGCTACACAAATAAATTTTAAAATTTTCTCAGTACTCAAATGTTTTATCAAAATTATCCAACATAAAGCAAGATAGGTACCTTGTCTGTTTATCCCTGAATCTGTACATGTAGCATTCAATAACTTGCTTTTAAAAGTCCCACCTTTTGTTAGCTTCTTCATGAATCCGAGGCTGTAATATTGTTGTGATTAACAGAACATCTGTATCTTCACCTTACAGAAGAAAATGCAATATAAATTAGGAAACATGCTTTTTTAAAAAATAAGAAGTATAAACACCAACAGATTTATGAATATAAGTTTTTTTACGTACATGAGACTTGCAGACTAACTTCATCACAACTTTGAATCTGCAAAGTGCTTGTGTATATATACTCTCAAATGTATGTATGTATGTATGTATGTATATATATATACACACACACATACACACAAAGATATATATTTAAATGTATATGTGCACACATATATTTAAACAAACTATTATGTGTTTATGGTATGATATACTGTAAATGATATAAAAATGTATAATACAAAGAGGCTATTATTATGTAGCATCCCATGTGTGTGTTCCCATGGATTTTTGTAAATGGAACTCAGCTGTTGTTTTATTAAATTATTAAGAGACAATATTCTTGTGTTTTGTAAATAGGATCTTATAAATTATATTATTTTATTACATTTTTTCTTGAGATAAAATTTAAAAACAGATTATTCATTATTTAATGGCCCAACTGTGTGTGTCTTCATTTGACATTTTTTATATGGCACTTTATAATACATAATTGGCAGAATTTAAAAATTAGATAAAAAACATACCCTAAAAAGTAAGTTTATGACCAAAACATGTGTGTGTGTGTGTGTGTGTGTATATATAATGTATATATTAGTATACGACACAAACTTGTTCTGCTAATAGAGAGGTTTTATTAATATAATCCTGCACAATCTTACTATATACAAATCTCTTAATGAACCTTAATATAATTGTCCTAATTATTTTTATGTGTTCCCTTGGAATATTACACGTTTTATCCTAATTTTTAAAACTGAGTTCCAGAATTTGCTCCCCTCTAAATTCTTATTCTGCTTTAAAAGCATCCCCTTCTAAACTGTGTTTTTTTCGTATAGAGGGTCTATACTGTAAATAGCCCATTTATTTTTAAACTTTTTGTCCATTTTCAAAAGTGAATATTGGATTTTATTTCTCAGATAACTTCTTTTTAAGAGATTTTTCAAATGAAATTCTGATTTCACCCATCGAAATAAGATCTCTCTCTTAGGCTAATGTTTGTGTGTTCGTTTCTCCACAAATGGATCTTTATTTTAATTTTTATTTAAAAAAATATCAGTTTCCAAAAAAAGCATTTTGGTATTCGTTTTAAATTTATTTTTCAATGAAATCATTTAGGTATTTTTTTAAAATAACTTTTTCAACATGAAACTTCCGTCTACTTGACTCGTGTTTACATGGTGATTCAATTGTATTCTATGAAACGCATCATCCATGGAGAATATCCCATGGAATTGTATTCTTCACCGTAAACATTGAACTAATAAAATATAATCATAAATCCATTTTTCAATCTTAACATGGAAAGACCACACAACACCATTTAATTGAAAAAACAAAAACATTCAAAAGTCTGAAAAACATATGAGTCTCAAACAAAACAACAGCTAGGAAGATTACGCGAATATAAATTAAAGCATGTTCAAATTGATAAAATTTGACCTATTCTCTATTTCTCAGTTTTAATGGCCTTCATTTTAAGGAGCTCTTTTGTGGCGCCAAATTCCTCATCTAGATCCCTCTTAGTAGGGTCATCGGCTTCCTTATAAATCTCATGCTTGCGTTTGACCTGAAATGAAAAACAAACTACGTTAATACACACACACACACACTTATGTTTTAGATATAATCAATCGGTTGTTTTATTATACCTCTTCATCTTCAACAATAACTTCTTCTTCGTCCCAAAAGCCTAATTTCATGTCCTCCCCATCATGGGTATCGTACAACTTCCATATATTGGGGTCAGAAATCATTGCCGTAACACCAAATGACTTAGCCTCAAGAAAAAAATCTTCTGACTTTGGTTTTACACTTACTCGGAAAAGACCCTTTCTCTGGATCAAACTCTCAATTTCTGGCAATGGGAAGGAATCTGCGTTTCCCGTACGCTGTAAAAAAATTCAATGTTTTTAATGTTCTTCAAGTTTAATGCTTACAGTATATACAAAATATTTATACAAAATATGTTTAGGTATGTATACCTCAGCCATGAGGTCTCTCATTCCACTTGTCGACCTTCCTAGCAAGTCGGTGCATTCTCTATCCCAAAGTGTTATGGTGGTGTAGTCGGTAGGGTCCATAACCAACACATTGATCCTATACCTATAAGTATGGATCAACTCATTATAATATGTTGCTTTGTTTTAAGGTCAGAGATACTAAAAATTTAAGAATCATCCAAACCT